TGCCAGTTCCTGTACCCACTGTTGATCCTCTTAGAGGATCAAATCTCAAAGCACAGTTACACTCGAACAGTAACAAAACAAAATCCATTAAGTTGTCACTCACTGAAACGACACGCTGAGACACCAGTTTACTTTCCCCTTTGCTTACACCAGAGGTTACAAACTGGCATGCCTTATTAAGTTTCGTTTGGCTCAACAACAAACAGGGCAGCTGTGCCCTGTACATGAGCTCCCTGGTTAACCCCAGTCCGTCCCCACCACTCCCTATCGCTCCCCACAAGGAGGCTGAGTCTCAATTGCCATCTATCATTAAACTCGCAGGGTTCCCTTCATTTACTTCCATTACCTGTGAATTTGCAACTGCCGACTTCAATGAACAACTACATTTCTCTCCCACAGGTTACACAGAGACATGCGCATTCTATTTCGTGTTGTCTGCTCTTCATGTAAACCAAACACATTCCCAACGGTTTTATACCAATCGGCACAATACATGTAGCTGAACACACACCCCTCAACTGAAGTCAAGCTTCCTACCTTCACTTCTCCCTCCTCTGACGGATTGTCCGAGTGTCTGGGTGAAGAGAAGTCAATCCCATGCTCATCTTTCAGCCTGGGTGCTTTGTTTTCCTTCTTTACTCGAGGCTTCCGCTTTTTTAATTTGGCCTCGAATGGGAGACAAAATGATGACAAAACTACAAATCGAGTCCCTCAAAAGCATGGCCTAATAGCACGATGACTCTGAAACAGTAGCAGCCATATAATTCAAACAGGAAGACTCAGAGGAAATTCAAAGAAGTGCAACCAATTTTACGGGGGGCGGGGGTTGGGGTGGAATGACACGTGACTGCGCCTTATACATATCCCCTACAGCACATAAAAACACCCAAATCCTCGAAACTACTGATTCCCATTTTTGGAATTCATCCTAAAGATGTAATTCAAAAGAAGGAAAAACACCTTATGTACAAAGATATAAATAAAGATAATATGTAAAAGACACTAATAGTAACAGTAAAAAAAACCAAAAACCCAAAACAAAAAACAAAAAAAACCCAGGAGCACGCTGTATCTAAAAATTAAAAAAAGGCGTTTCTACCTATCAATCAGATATGACACAATAATCTAACACCAAGTATAAACATGGCCTCATCTGTCTCTCCAGAGCCTGATTTACAGTATATACGCAACATATTATCTGGAGAATGACACTACTTATGATACTATTATGTGAACAAGGACATGGTATAGGGTTAGGAAGATTTCTTTCTTTTCTAAGATTTCTTTGGTTTGTAATACAGGGAAATGACTATAAACGACATAGCTCCAAGAGCACTTAAGAAAACACACACACAAAAGGCTGCTAGTGTCACATATAACTTATCCTATCTTCTAACTGTGATTCCCACCTTTCCAGGTCTGAATTGAAATGAAAAGTTGGGGGAATTAAAGGAGGTGAAACTTAGGTGAGTTCATTAGCAACAAGGTTGGTATTTTTCACTGAGCAAGTAAGGCAGCCATGACCGAAGTCCCATTTCTGAATTAGCTGCGGATTCCAATTTCTATTTGTCCCCTGGACCCCTGATTACAAGTAGCCCAGAGTCAGCTATAACAAGAGGCAAACCCAGTGGTAGTCATACAGTTACCAGAACTAAGTTTCCAAACTGAGAAAGCAGCATAAAGAAACAGCAACAGCATGTCCGGGCCAGTGGCACAAAGAGACAGGGGGACTGTTTTGAGGCAATATTTGAGGAGAACGGGTTTGTAGGAAAGTTGCCCACATGTTTTGGTCAGTAGTTACGCAAACATTTCTATTGTTACCAACCAGCCATCAGGACTGGAATCTCGAAAGCACACCTGACTATGAGAAGGTACNTTATAAATAAATGTGCACTTTGATCTAGGAATCTGTGTTCACAAAAATACTGTAAATGATTGACATCTACATGAATCCACATGGACACATCTCATTTCTCCAGGAAAGACTGCAGAAGGATGGAGATATAAATATAGATTTTTTTTTAAATAACTTCGCGTATAAACATTTAAAAACATAAAACACTACACTTGTTTATGATGATAGAATATGTAATAGAAGTATAAAAGTACAGATAGGAAGGTCTCAAACCAAGTTCAGAGAAGTGTAATGGAGGAGAAAAAAAGGAGCTTCCACAGCATGTAACGTGCACATGAAACTCAAACTACAGTAGCCAACATGAGCCCCTTGAAGTAAACGTGGAAAAATAGTAACAAAAGCTATACTATCTGGGTAGTGGATACATGGGTATTTGTGAAATCATTCTTTGTGCTTTTATTTTTTTTAATATTTCACCTTATCTTTCTGTGGAAGCACAAACACACAGATTATCTGTCACAGGATGGTTTATAACATTAGAAATTTGAAAGCAATTTCAATATGAAAGACGCAGACTGCTTCCAAACAGAACCCTCCTCGTCTATTAGAATTTTAACGAGTATTTATTCACTTGGAAAGTTGTGATGTCTTGCTAAGTAGGGAGAAAAGGCTACCCAAGCATTCTGGTCTGGTTTTTATATTTGTTCTTACATGCGTTAAGACAAAAGTTCCTAAGGTATTCAGCAGGAAATCTACTAGAGTTACGACTAGATGGTGAAATGGTGGCAGTTATGTTTGTGTGTTTTAACAACGATTAAGGATTAATTGCAACAGGATTTCAACACCGGTCAGCAAGCATACACTGTACCAGAAGTCTGTGGTTTGGAATGAACTCATCAAATGCTGCCAGTGAAGATTATATAATAACAGGGCTTTTCACACATTTCTAGTCGAAAAGCTTAACTCTTGGTAGCATTTAGTTTGAAGCCTACATCTTTCAAATATTCGAATTCATCTGTGGGTTGTGATCTCCTACCATGAACCTGAGAATGTGTTTGAAGCAGTTACCTGCAAATACAGATTAGTCCCTCACCTGCCTTCTCTCAAACATCCCCCCTGAAATAGGTAAAAGAGTGCAAGAACACCCCAAACTTGCTTGTTCCTTTCTCTCTGCAGGGAGAAGTGCAGGCCTCACCCTGACAGCCCCATCCTTCCTTCTTGGACATACCCACAAAAAGAGAGGATTACTTCAGGGCCCTCAAGCCCCGTTCTATTTCTGAATGCTAGGAGGGATTTCAGAGGCTCTGGGCATTTCAGTAAGTAGAATGACCCCGTTACCTTCTCTTTCTTATCTTTTGACTTCTTCCTTTCCTTGTCCCCGTCTTTGTCTTTCCTGGAACTCATTTGTTTCTCCTTGTTCTCCTTGTTCTCTTTCTTCTTCTGTTTCTTTTTCATCGGACTTTTTTCTAAGCCATCATCCTAGAAGACAAACAGGGCTGT